GGTCTAAAAATAAAAATAAATACAAATAAGAACCCAAATTTAAAATAATTACAAATAGAAGTCCAATATTAAAAATTATTACAAATAAAAACCAAAATATATCATCAAAATCACTAGCCAATTTAATCATAATAACATTATAGTTTAATTGTTTTTATGATTTAATGGGTGTTCTAGAGTTATTATTATTTAGAATTACAATCAAACATCTTTATAATTACTTCTTTTATAATTTTATTTGCTTATAATCACAAACCTTTAGAACCAACTCATATGGTGCATATAAAATTTAACTGTTATACATATAAGTACAAAGTTCTTGAAACCAAGAATGTGATTATAAAGTGTTGACTATAACAAAAAAAAAACAGAAAAAAATTTCAACTAACAATCAGATTTTTGAAATCTATGTAATTCAAAATGAAAACTAGCTTTGTGTAGTCTAATATGTTTATTTCTCTAATCTATCATGTATGATACCTTGGTACCTACTTTTAAAATAAACATAAATTTCAATATTACAATATCAAAATATTGCTACATTTCATGTTTTGAATGTATTTATAAAAGTTGACAAGTTGGATCATCTTTAAGCTTGTTAGTTAAAATAGTAAAAGGACATTAACTGGTTTCATTTTTAAAACAAACACTCAAAAGTTTACTTGGTTTATTTATTCTTAACTTAGAATTCAACAAAATAACAGTTTACTTGATTTGTTCATTTTTAATTTAAAATTCAACAGAATAGCAGAATAAACATTTTTTCAAGTTTGTAAAAATTATACTAATCTGTAACTTTGTATTTAACATTTATAAACAGGTTTTAAGAAATATATAAGAATTTTAATGAATCAAATTTTCAGCATAAATAATGGGTTAATGAATTGAATATACCTTTTGTGCATTGGAATTTATATTTGAATTACTAATTAATTATTATTAGATTTCTTATGCATTAAAAATCAAATTATCAAAATAGAACTAAACCATAGGTTTTTAAGCATATGATTATTTTGGGCACTTATTTGTAATAATTTTCAAATATCGGGCCTCTATCTGTAATTATTTTCATTCTGGGCCCTTATTTGTAATTATTTTCATTTTTTGGGCCCTTATCTGTAAATTTATTTTTAAATTAAGCACCAAAAGTGCATATATAATTAGTTATAACTTTTTATATAAGAGAACCTTTAAAGGTTTTGTATCTATATAACTTGAATAAAAATTATTTTCCAAAGACAGGAATTTTAACTTTAAAATATATATATATATATATATATTTGCAAGAAAAAATACTATAATTTCAGAAAAGCTTGAATATATGGTTTATAAAAAAAATATTATAAGCATTGAAGAAGTGTGATACACATAATAAATCTTAAAACTAAAAATTTTTTTGATTATTTACTTATTTAAATCACCAATTTTTTTTTACAATAATAAGTTATTCTTTTACTATGTCAAATTAGCAACCCAAATCCTGCACAGGATGTTATATACTATTTAAAATAATGAAGCTTTTTTGAATGAAAAAGGAAAAAATGCTTTCAAATTAAATTATCATATTCAAAAAATAATCAAGAATAACTTGACAAAACAATTATAAAATTTTATCTTGCAAAAAAATTTATCTAAAGTTTAAATATTTTTAGAACGATAGTAATAATGAAATAAATATAACAATTTATTTTAATATCTTGAATATTTTTTGGTAATTTAAATAATTACCATCCATTATAACCTTTGGATTATTGGCTTATTCTCATAAACGCTTTTTATAGTATTAAATGAAGCACATCTTTTGAAATTATTAACTTATTGGTCCAACATAACAAATGCTTGTAAAAAAATCGAATTTTCCTACAAATATAACCAAAAGAAAACGTATGAACAATAAAATTTTAAGCGTTTCATGTTATTTATTAAAAAAATCCTTTTGAAAATTGGTTGTTAAAAAATTATATAAAAGAATCTTTCATATAATGGTCAGTCTATAAAATAAATCAATTATTTTATGGTATTTTTACGTGATAAAATTATTGACCTTATTTCATAAACCAAGATAATAAGTCATTGAACAAAACTGTTATTGCATGTTTCCGTATACATCAACAAGAAAATTACCTTTAGCTGGTAGAATTCAACTTAAAGTACATTATATGATTCTGAATGAATTAGAATACATAGGACAATGTTGATACACGACTTGTTTAACGCTTATCTACTTATTAAATGTTTATCTACAGGTTCACTTTTAATGTCAACCATGATGAAAACAATCTTCGAATACAAAAACACTGAAAAAAATGTGCCTTTTTATATAATCGTTTAACGTTATTGTTGCAATATATAAAATTTAAATGTATGCCAAAATTTACAATATTTCGGAAAAAAAAACTTTTTAATTTATTCGACCAAATGTACTGATAATATTGATCAATATACCTGATTTTCAATCATCACAAACCACTTATACATTTCTTTTTATCATTTAGTTCATGTATAATTTGTGTTTAAAAAATATACGCATATATGTGAATGAAAAAAAACTGGATGACCAATATTTTTGATTGCATATTCGTGTAAATGATAACAGTGATCATCTTAATATTCGTGTAAATGATAAATTCTTGTTATTTAATGGATATCTGTGGATACGGGGTATTCTGTAGAATAATAGTAAAATCACGTGGCCTTTGGCCACGTAGTTTACTATTATTCTATAGAGATATCCATTAAATAACAAGAATTTATTCATAAAAATCATGATCAAAAATTGAGATTAGTTCAAGTTAGATAATTGATTGAATGAACCTAGTGTAATCGACTTCTTAAACTTTCCTCTCCTGCTCGCAATGTGTCATGTTACTTTTGAAGTGATTGTAAACGATGTTTTAAGGTTTCTTATACATAACACTTGTAGATTTGACCCTTCAACCTCGTTAATATCAACTAGAGATACTGGTGACATTAATTTCACCAATTTACCACCAATTTCACCATAATAATCCAACTTGGTAAAAGTAGGATTTAGAAGAAAAATATCGGTCATCTCAGCTTCGATAAACAGCAAATTATATATTCGAATTTTATTTATTATAAAAATTAATAAAAAAATCCATTACATTAATAAAAATGTATATCACATAAATTTTGATTATATTTATATTTAAAAAATTTATATTGTTGTTCGGTAAATCGGCGAGTCTGTTGCTAATTCCTTCAAATCCTCGTGTAACCTACGGCGGCTTAGTCGAAATAGACGTGTTAGATTTGGCTGGGTGGTTTATCCGTAGGTAAGTACTATTCTTCTCTTCTAAGTCCTTCCTTTAACCTATTCTTCTATTAACCCTTGTCTTCTCTTGTCCTCCCTTTACTTCCTTAACGTGGGGTTACGATACATCGAATCGGGTTGGAGTCCTTCTCTTGTGTTAGCGACTTTATCACGTGATTTACGGCGAACGATCAAATTGCGGTTTTAGTGGGTTACAAATGGACGAATGATAGGGACAACGATGGGTTTTAATGATAGTTTTCAGTTTGGGTTAGGTTATAGTTTTACTTTCAATATGGGTCCGATACTTAAGTTTATTTTAGCAAATGTATTGACTTGGGGGTACCGCAGTTACTTTTCCCCTGGGCGGAAAGCCCTTTATTTATAATAAAACTTTTATTTGCATTCGAGGATAATTTCCTCTACATTATCTAGTTACAATATATCATCCTTAAAACCCCTTTCCCTACTATAATAACTAAAAACCGAATGTCCTTTATACCGTCGATCTACCCGAAGTAATAAAAGTAATAGATGTAATAAAAGTAATAAAAGCAAGAAAAGTAAGATAAATTTTACTTTTCATGTGACTAATTACTCAGGTAGGCGATAGGTCCTACATGCGACGATCGATCACGGGTAACCGTGATAATGGTAGGACGAATTTCGGGGCTCACAATATGATAAAATAATTGGTCAATATTTCATTCATCTAGAACCTCATTTGAAACTTCTGCCACCACCACCTAAGCTTCATTAGCTCTTTGCTTTATGTGATTTACTTTTTCAAGGATTTTTGTAATAAAATTATCAGTTTGACATAAACGCTTGTAGAATTTTTGGGATACCCTTTGTTTGTAACCATCGCACCTAAACGGTTCTCATGGTAAGTTTTTACGACAGAGGATAATCGTTCCACATCATTATACCCAATTCGGTTCACACCTCTAAGTTTACATTGTACAAGAAATTTAAATCCTTCACACTTTATGGGAATATCTTTATCCCGGTCTGAATCTATTGGACCATCGATTGGATCTTTGTCATCATCACTGAAGTTCTCCTCAACTACGAACTCCGGCGTGTTTCGACATATTTCAATGATTTCTTTTCTGTATTTGAAACATTCCTCATCTTTCTAAAAAAAAAATTAAATTAAAAAGATATAAGCACATCATACCGTCATCGTGTTTATGATCGGAACGTATCCGCGCGCTCACTAGGCATTCAATGCTCAGAGAGTATAAGACTTACATAGTTGCCTCTCGACTTGTATTTTTTTAATATTTCTCTTTTTGAACGTCAGTTGGTTTCCATAATCTATACTATTATGAAATAAAGAAAAAATATGTGAAAATGTGTCGAAATTTATATTTGAAGCGCTTTTCATTTTTCAAAAAAAAAAAATTAAAAAAAAGATGAGTACATCATACCGTCATCGTGTTTATGATTGGAACGTATCTGTGATATTGCCTTATAATCATGCTCACGGGTCTACAGTGGGCGATTATACCAGCGAAAGACAGTTCCGGTATCTCACTCAACCACCAGCGTGACTTACACTCGCGTGCCCACTAGGCATGCAATGCCCAGAAAGTGTAAGACTTACATAGTTGCCTTTCAGTCGTTGTATTTTTCCAATGGTTCCTTCTTTGGGCGTCCGTTGGTTTCTATAATTTATTATATAAATAAAGAAAAAATACGTGAAAATGTGTCGAAATTTATGTAAATTTTATATAAATTTTTTTGTGTGTGCATTTTTTTAATGGTAAGTTGGGTACAAAATAAGGTTACCATGTTTAAGCAAACCCACAAATGTTAGGTATAATTTTTTCTTCAAAAATAAATAGCAAACTTACGGTTGTGGATTCTTTTCTGTATAAAGTTCAATAACGTGACAAAAAAAAATTGGGACTGTCTCAACAGCAAGTCAAGTAAGATAATAATAATAAGAAAAAAAAGCTTCATAAGAGGTGGTGCAACTTGTGCGGCGCACAAAAAGTAATAACTACTGGGTGGGTTTTTGAAGGAAAAAAAAGTTTTTTTGTAAAACTAAGTACGTATTCCATAGTAGCTTTTTATATATTTTGATTTGGTAAATTGTCATTTAAAAAAGAAATAATATGGGCGCGCTAATATAAATTATTTAAAGATCTTTTCTATTAATACAGTTAAAGTAAATGGGTTATATAGATATCAAAAATATAATTTTTATAAAGTCATTTATTAACTATTATTTATATATATATTTGATATACAATCATGATTAACTGTCGATCCTTACTAAATTTTTATATTAAACAGCTGACGAAACTTTAATGACTTTGCTTCTTTAGATTTAATTGGGCAATTTATCATATGATCGATAGATGCATTTTAATTATTCCGAAAGAAAAAAGTAAAATACTCAAAAACTAGTGTTTTGTATTATTTGCCCTAAAAAGGAAAGAGGCATTCGGCATTCATTTTTGTTGTTTTGACGCCTGACTTCTTACCCTAAAGATTTCATTACACCTGATCTTTCGATCTATTGGATAAATCATAAGGAGGGGAAATTTCTAAAATGAAGTAAAAATACTCGAAAATATTTAAAACTGAAATTTCACGTATAGTAACAGTTTACCCTAAGTTCGCCAGGTTCGCATCAAGATTAGAATTGAATTAGTGAAGATTATATATTGGAGTAGGAAAAATTGTGAATATTTTTTATTTGATCTATTAACTATGTTATTTATTATTTTATTTTACATATATTTAATTTATTCATTTAATTTATTTATTTATTTTATATTTCCTTTTTAGGTTCTTTTTCTTCCACCCTTTGTTCTCTCGATTTTTCCAAGAGACATCAACAATAATGCAAAATACATGTTCCATATTTTTTTCAATAAACTGTTGCGTCATTAAGTGACGTGAACGAAATGTTCAATACTATATGAGATAAATAACGGCCTCTTTAATTTACTTTGGCTAATTTAATAACAAATAATTTTCATGGTTGATATGCGAACATACTGCACATGTCATATTACATTGGTTAAAATGGATCTTTTAAGGAGTGTCAATAGAAATGTGTCAAATGTGTTTTTATCTTCGGCTTGGACGTGTAGGTTTACTTATAATTTTATTTCTTTTGTCTTTTTTTTTTTTGTTTCACCTATTTTTTAATTTCGCTCTGAAACCGAAAAATTGCATGATCATAATCTCTTCCCGATTTTTATAAGCTTCACTCTATGAACAAGTTTTACGGCACAATTATAGGGATATTAAATTGCGAATCCAGTCCTGTCCGATCCTAGGATCTAAAAAGACAGTCCTGGACTCGATCATCTTAC